TCCTCCAACCCTGATGATTCTATGATAAAAGCAGTTTATTCTCCTCCAGAGTAACACAGCACCTCACCGTGGATTTCCTTGATGCGAAGAGTGTTTTGGTGCAGTCTGTGCTTTAAAATCAGCTGCTCCAAATAGAAGAAAGTCTTCTTGTGCAGAGTCTACAACCAGAGAGAGATAAAACGCTCAAGGTCAGTTAGGAATCACCTTGTGCAAATGTAATACCTCTGAAGAATAAACATTTACACAAAGAGGTCATCTAGAGAAGAAACATCCAAAGCCTAATCCAAGTAACCAAAATGATTATAGAGTGCTCAAATTAGACCAAATTATCTACAGCTTCCATTTCTCACTGTCATGTAACTGGCTGCTAGAGAGACTATTTCCTTTAAAGATTTCATAGTATGTTAAGGGGTTGGAATGGACCTCAGAGATCATCTAGTCCCAACCCCCAAGTATTTAAATACAATTTGTCCTCTGTTTCTAACACTACCTTAAAATACAGAACAACATTTAGTAATTCCCACAAGATTCTCCTGTCAGCAGCATTGTAAAAAAATATTTAATACTGGACAGCAGAGAAAAGCTTTTCTAAACTAAGATCAGCCAGAACAACCTTGAACACAAAACATATTCCCATGGCTGTCTGTGAGTGTGAGTACATCTTCTTCAGAGACATCCAGAAAATCATCCAATTCTTTTTCTGCCTGAACAATGACAACTCAGTTTGCCTCTACCTTCTGCCTGACTTGAACCACAGCTTTCCAGAAATCCTTGGCTTCAATCCTGTGACAGTCTTCACACATCTGGGACTGGACGATGTATTCTACCACAAACACCTGCTGCAGAACTGCTCCATTTATCACCTGGAAAACCACAGTGTTAAAGGTTTCCTCATTAGCCCTGGCAAGACTGAGAGCTACACACTAAGATGTGTCAGACAGCTTTATTTGGGTCACAAGTAATAGTATTTTCCCAGCTTTATTGGAACACACAATAACCTTTTCCAGTTAGGATGAACTGCACTTTAATGACATCATTTAGGCAGGATGAAATATAAGAATGATAATAAAAATATCCTGTTGTTTGCCATAAAAGTTTTTGAAAATGCACAGGGAGAATCCTGTACTCCAGTTACCTCTTTCTGAACAGTCAGTTTCAGCTTCAGCCTCTTGGAATGTGGCTCTGTCCAAATGAATCCTGCGTCAATCAGCCGGACCTGTCCAGGGGGAAGGATGAGAGCTCACAACACACAGCTCCAACCACCACAAATGCACCCTTATGGTATAGTTCAGAGTGAACACGTGAAGAATCTTAACTAAAAATATACATATTAGCACCCCAAATCCAGCTAATAATGCTTAGTTGGAACACAGAGGTTGATCTACCTAAAATAAAGGCGCTACAACCTCAGGCTGTCACACCAGAGTAACTGAATACACTGTTGAACAGTATCTCTGTGCCAAGTAATGATACATTTGGATAGTATAATGGTAATATATTTTGTCTATTTAATTGCTAACCTCATAGCAACAAACTCAGTAAGACAATCTAAGTCAAACCTTGATGACTGTGGTAATAATTCTTTGCCTAAAACACTATCTCAGATCATTTCCCTCAGTAACATTCTGAACGTAGAAGATACTTTACTCAATTTCAACTTGTGACTTGCAATTTAATCTATATATAGATCTCTGCAACCCTCTTTCATTCATGACAAACCAGTCAGAATTAGTGCTGTAAAAACAATTTTTAAAATGTTTAACATAAATCACTTGATAAACTCTACACAGGTATAAACAGCTGCTCTGAAAGGATCAAACCCTCTACAGGTTAGTTGGACTTCACCTCATGCAATACCAACTGACACACTATGAAATGTCAACAGGATCAGCTACTCACCTTGCTCAGGGAAGCTTTGATTTTCTTAAGACACAAAGCAAGGAGCTCTCTCGATTCCAAGGTGCACTGAATCCAGGTTCCTGGAGGCTGAAGATACCTGTGGGACAGGAAGCATTTTACAGCACATGGAAGCTGTTTCAGCAAATGAAATCACTCCAAAATTTATTTCTCAAACTTTCAGTTTAGTATCAACAATGCACATACAATGTTTAGAGTCACAGAATCATTTAGGTTGGAAAAGAGCTCCAATATTGAGTCCAACCATTCCCCCACCACTGCCAAGGCCACCACTAACCATGTCCCCAAGTCTCACATCTACACGTGCTTTAAATCCCTCCAGGGATGGTGACTCCACCATTGCCCTGGACAGCTGTACCAGGGCTTGAAAACCCTTTCAGTGAAGAAATTTTCCCTAATTTTGAAGGTTTATCCAAGATATGAACTGGGCAGCAGCTTGGTGGCCTTTTCTCTCATCCTGTCACTTCTTCCCTGGGAGTAAAGCCCAACCCAATCTGGCTGCACCTCTTGTCAGGGAGTTGTAGAGACTGAGAATGTCCATCCTGAGCCTCCTTTTCTCCAGACTGAGCCCCCACGGAGCTTGTCCTTATCACACTTCTGCTCTTCTGCCTCCCTGAATACTGAGACTGATGCATTCCAGGTATATTTTACTGCCATCCTCCCCTGGGGCAGGAGGAGGGCAGGGGATACCTGGCTGCTCCCAGGCAAGAGGAGGGAAGGGATGCTTGGCTGTCCCCAGGATGGAGGAAGGAGGGGATGCTTGGTTGTCCCTCAAGATAGAGGAGGGCAGGGGATGCTCAGCTTCGCCAGGACGGAAGAGAGAGGGGATGCTCAGCTGTCCCTCGGGCTGGAGGAGGGCAGGGGATGCTCGGCTGCCCTGAGGATGGAGGGGATGCTCGGGCTGGTCCCCAGGCAGGAGAAGGGCAGGAGATGCTCAGCTTCCCCCAGGCAGGAGAAGGGAAGGGGATGCCCGGCTGCTCACCTTTCGCACTGCTTGCAGAAGTGGACAGTGCCCTGCTTGGGGATGCCCTCGGTAATGTCCACCTGTGCCCGCAGGCAGCCCACGCACATGTTGGCCGGGTTGGGCGGGATGGGCACACCGCACTGGCAGCACAGGCTGCAGCACACGGAGAGAAGGAGAAACAAGTCAGTGAGTAGTTCTTTTCCAGGTTTTCTCGGCATCAACACTCAGTCACCAACCGCAGCGCTGCCCTCCGGGTGACACCCGCAGCACCCACCGAAGCTGCGCGCAGGTTTTGGAGCTTA